TGTGTGCACGACCACCCTCCCTATCATACTATGAACTCAAGGGAGTATGGCTCTCGACCCTCGGATCACCAATCACGCATTTTGATGCATGGTGGCCAAAGGCACCAAGTTTGCAACTCAATGTAAATGCATGCAACAAAACAAATGAGTGCTAACGCCCTATCATGTTGAGATCAAGGGGATCAGCGACCGAAGAGTGAGACGTGTTTCGTCACTTTAAGTACGAACACGCCCCATTCCTCATGCTCGGTTTGACACCCCAAACCAAGCAAAAATGCAATGCATGTGTGAGATGTGACTCAAGTATGCACATGAGGCTAAGGTACCAAAACATGCCAAATGTAATGTGACCTATAATGCAAGTATGCAATGTGCCAAACATGCGATGTAAACATGATGTGCAACTAGCTAAGCAACAATGTAAACATGCAAAGATGATACGATGCAAACATGAGACCAAAGTAATGCAACATGTCAAAACATGCAATGGTGGACTCAAACTGAAATGGGAGGCCTCAGCCATGCCCCAAAACAATGGCCATAGATGATGCATAAGGACACAAATCATGCATGCAAGCATGAACATACCAAGGCCTATCACCTAAGCATGGAAGGGGCAACTTTCAAGGACACTTAAAGGTGATAAATATGGACATTAAACACTCATGTTAAACTCTGAAAAGCATGCGAAGGATGATGCCAAGACATGCTAGGAAATGGATGCAAAATGGAAGGCATTCAAGGCCACAAAAGAGGGCATTACTCAACACCTACCCCAAGCAAACATGGCATAGATTTTTCAATGCAAAACAGAGTTTTATCATGCAAAAATGAGCCCCAAAACCCACTGATATGGCAACCCAAAGCCTCAAACACATAGGCATGCATAATGCTTTATTTCAAGGCACAAAAGGATACCTCTTCAGGGCAGGGAAAGAATGATGAATGCAAGCATACAAGCATGGATTATGGACTGAAATATGATCTCCAATGGTGCCAAATCATGAGAATAAGCTAAGCTAAGCATACTAGTGACCCACACACTCAAGGCTTACAAGCCAAAATGCAAAAAGGCTATACCAAACATGGCAAACATGATCAAATCAGTACCCAACAGACCTCAAGCATGATGAAATATGACCAAAAGCTTCATGAAGTCAAGCTAGAACATGCAAGTATGGAGGCCTAAATGCATGGCACCCTTCTAGGCAAAATGGAGGAATGTAAGGCAAGTATATTGTGCATGCAAAGGGCCATAAATCCGACCAAAGACAGAGATATAATATGACCATATAACACCCAAAAAACTCTAAAATAGAGCCAAAAACAACTAAGCATGCATGCTACCCTTGTGAGCCAAAAACATGAACAAATGAGACACAAAGGGAGGGGGGTGTCCCTCCCCTATGCAAGACCTCAAAACCTCTTCTTCACCACTGAAAATCCTCTGGATTTCAGTGGTGAGAAGGCCAATGTACAAAGGTATTCAAAGCTTAACAAGGAGAGCACGAAAAGGGCCAAACAAGGCCTAAGAGGGGGAGGTCGACCCCCAACACCAAAATGACGTTAATGAAGTGTCTTAAACACAAAAAAATAGAACTTTTATATGTTATACACAAAGCTCAAAACAGCATGCAAAGGGGGTTAAAAGCTAGTGCAAGATTGAGCTTGGGGAATATAAAGCAATAGTGTTACCCTTGAAGAACACTTCAAGAACAGCAAGTCCAGCCCCCTTCTTCTGATCAAAACCAACTCAAAACTTCAAGAAAAAACCCTCAACACCTCCAAAGTCGAAGTATGGTGTAATGCTAGGTGACTTAGTGCAAAACTAAGAACAAAACACACTTTTTGGCTCTCTAACACACACAAATGAAGAGAGAGAGGGAGATAGAGAGAGAGAGGTGTATCTATCATATATCACTCTGATTTTTGCTGAACCAACCAACCCCTACAAAGGAGAAGAGAGGTCTCCTTATATAGACAAGGCAAAGGTCTAAGCTTCCAAGAGAGGCTAACCAAAAGAGGTCAAGGCTTCTTAAAGAAGCCAAGGCTAAGGGGCCAAGGCTTCCTGAGGAAGCTGAGACAGGGGTCTAAGCTTCTTGAGGAAGCTAAGACAAAGGTTCAAGCTTCTTGAGGAAGCTAAGACAAAGGTTCAAGCTTCCTCAAGAAGCTAGGCCAAAAGGGTGCAAAGGGTGCAACTCCTCCATACACGTGTATGGAGGACAAGTCTGTGCACTCCAACTGGCACAGCCGGCATGCACAATGCCTGAGAAAGGAAAAAAGGAGGTACCGGCCAGAAAAGGAGTCCATCGGCCAAATATATGGTCAGCCGACCACATAAAGAGCCGATCAGCCATCACCAATGGCCGGTGGAAAGAAAACAAAGCCAGTGGCCCTAAGCCATGGCCGGTGAGGTGTGGAGATGACCAACAAGCCATTCCCTACTCTCCAAAGCAAAAAAAAACAACAAGTGTTTGGTCCAACCAAGCATGAAACTGTCGAGTTGAGAGATCCTAAGACATGGCGCGTAGCCGAGACCTTCGGGAACTCAAAACGAACACAAACATGGATGATCACCGAGTGTTCAAACGATGACGTCCAAGTCTCAAGGACGGTCAAAAATGGGGTGTCTACACATATATTATATACACATACAACAAGCAGCCTGGAATAAAAAAGGAAAGCCCCGAGATGCCTTAAACCAGTTCATAAGTACATACTGGTTGATGGATCTAGTCTAGATTATATTTCTTGTGAATTATTTTAAGGCATCTTGTAATTTTTATCACTTCCTTTTGTTGTTGGATTTTCGGTTTCTTGTAAGTTATTTTTGGACTTGGGCCAAATTGTTACTTTTTTACATTTGAAAATGGATAACATTCTTCAAAAAATATGAGATTGCTGTGGGGGAAAAAAAATGAGTAATCAGATTTATCCTTAGGCTTCTTTTTTTTATTATTATTTATTAAAGATAGTAAGATTCATCCTTAGTTTGAGAATGTAATTCCTGTTAAAATAAATAACAAAAAATTATTTTTCTATTCCAATTTATTCAAAATATTAGAATCGTTGAGACTTGGGAATCACATTTCTACTTATCTTCAAGATTATTCCTGTCATCCAAACATTGAATTCCAAGCTTCTTTATTCAAGACTATTGAAGATAAGATTGCTGCTACAACAGATGTTTTCATTTGGCAGAAAATATTCTGGTTAATTCCATTGATGGTTGAGTTCCCTTCTTGTTGCAACTCTGTGTTTTGTTACATTGCAATTTGTGACATTTTTGTAGTATACAGAAAGTAAATCAAAATTTTGAATTGTTATTAATTTTAAAGTTAGTCATGACTTGTTATGATGTTGGTTTTGTTTTGAGGTTTTGATGTTGTTCTTAGTTGGTTTCTTGCCGACTTTTTTCTTTTATTTTTTCTTTGGCCTTATTAGGTTCTTTTGTGCATACCTGTATTGATGTTTGGGTTATACTTTATTACTTATCTGCATTATAAAATAAATAAATTACATTTAAAAAAACAAAAAAAAAAACATTTAGAGAAGACAACTTTTAGACAACCAGATCAAGAAACAGGGTACACAAAAACAGACGGAACATATTGTCAATTCCAGAGATATCAAGGCGACAAAACTTGAAGGAAAATGGGTTCCTGAGAGAAACAACCAAACAAAAAATCCTTCCATTCCAAGTTGAGGTTTAACCTCACAGTTTCTCCTTTTCATTCTTAAATTCATCATTTTAGATTACTCAAATCTTATAAAATTAATATCAATTGAATACCAAAATCTTTGAAACAAAAAGAGAAATTTCACAATAACATAGGTTCATATAGACTTGTTAGACATAAACAGTGAAATTTTACAGTATTTATCAAGCGGTTATGTATCATGATATATGGTACATTCTATCTGCATCATTCAAGGCCTCTGCATCTACGAAACAAAAACTTAAGTCTTGATGATACTTGGCATATGACAAATGTGATCTGATCAAGTATTGATGGTAATTCTATTATTTTGATTTTTTACATGGATGATATGTTTGGATGACCCAATAAGCTAAACAATTTCAATCATTGAGATCAATCCTGTGGTGGGTCTACAGTCTAACCAACTAGATAGAATCTCAGTCCATGTGTTAATAGCACAACTACACTAATTCTAAAGAGGCATGCACACTCATATTAACACAAGCATAGTACCTATGTATTAATTTTTTTTAAAGATAGTATGTTATTTTTTTTATTTATTTTTTTTTTTTGAAATAATAGTCGATAAGTTGACCTAAGCAAATGACTCGCGCACATAATGGTTTTGTATACAAAGTGTACTGATATTAAAAAAACATATTCACAATTATAGATACGAATAAAATCTGAAACATAAATGCTGTTCTTGTAGAGTTTTTGAATAACATCAACGTGGGGACAACGAAGAAAGCATAGTAATTACGGAAATGACAGTCTGTGTGAGAGTGAGGAGGAGGAGAAAAGCAGCTGCAAAAGTGGCAACAGTAACCCACATATTTTTGAAGTAATCACGCTTCAATGTCGCTACTCCTCTGTGCCACCATGTCTCGCAATGAGCATTCACTTTGCTGCATAGTTCAGCGTAATAGAAATGCTGCAAAATGATTTTTCCTTTGCCCAAGTTTTTGAACATAAGCGCCACCTCGTCATCACCAAGCATGTTGTCAATAACTTTATTGCGACGAAGTTTGTTCACTTCTTCTTTGGATTTGATAATCCATGAAGAATGTATAATCGGTGAAATATTTGGGTTCGTCATCTGAGGAATGTTGCTCGTAGGCAATGATGTTACGGAAGAATATTTCTGTCGAATCACAAACCTCAAACTTTGGTATTTTAAAATGACCATGTTCGAAGACTATATCGAACATGCTGACCTCCTTATGCTCCTCGAACGTGACACCAGCCTCCTCAAGCTCTATCACACAGGGCATTTTAGGGCAAGTTTCCTTATGGGCCCTGGTGGAGGAGTGCTCTGCATTGATTGTGAGACAAGGATGACAAACATTATGTACCAAGTCAAGAAAATGCTTGCTTTCATTGAAATGTTGATTTTCAAATTGGATTTTGTCTCTTCCTGGTAGCATCCGATTGATAGGATACTTAGCAAGCTCAATGAGGGTGGGATGCTTCTAGTTTGGATTTTCAGTCCTCCTACAACTCATGCTATAAAATTCAGATAGAAGAAAGAATGGAAGTTGGTTTTCAAGCAGCATCAAGTCATGACAAATGTGCATTCTTATCCATGATACTTTGACAATAGTGTTATCACTCACACCTTGTAATCATTGTCCTTGTTGTCATAGTTGATGTTGATGCTTAACAAGAAAATACTCATGAATACCAACAAGAAACTCAATAACAAAGCAAGCATCATTTAACATCATTTTCACGAACTCATCACTGTTGAGGTGGTCAATGGGATTCGCATAATACTTGCGAGCTCTTTCTTCTAACTTCTTCATGGAATCTAAGTACTCCTCCTTTCTCTGATTGTTACGTTGAAGAAGCAGTTCCAAATAACGCTATTTATGTTTTTCCATAGGAAGTAGTTTAGGGTGACCGTGGTGGTAAGGCCCTATAGAAACTAGCATAGGTGTATATGCTTTTTCATTTACATGACGCAGTCCTTCATGCACTCTGAAGATACAAGGTCATCAGGCAAAGGTTCAATAGCTCCAGGTGTGTTTGACTGCATTTGAAGCCATATATGATCTGTTACCTCTATGCATTTTTCTTGCTGATGTTCTCTTTCGACAATGTCGATGGTATGTTGTTCCATCGCTACTCTAACTAACACCTATAATCTGTTAAATTTAAAAGAAAAGTATACCAACACCAAAAATCTCACCAAAATCACCCACATGAAATATTTTGTTTGCATCATTTGTTTCATGTCTATGATTTATGTGAGTTATTTTTCATTGATCATGGCAATCCTGTACAACAGTAACACAATTTGTATACAAAAATTTAATACATTCAGAATGATGTGTCTCATTTTTTTAAATCATAATTTGTTTACTACTTGATGTGTTGGATATTAATACAAGAGTAATGATGTAAAAACAAAATGTACATGCAAAGTGATATGACCCTTTATGATACTTTCATCCTAAATTATAGGGTTAAATTACACTACCTCCTTAGGGTTAAGGAAAAAAACACAAACCCCCCTACCATTCACTTTGGGATAATGAAACCCTTTATAGTTAATGGCAAAGTGTAAAAATGAAGGGAGATAACAGAAAATATAAAAGCACAAAAATAGCCTTGTTATTTCACCTCTCACTTTCCCTTTCTTCCCTTTCGTTCTCTTCTCCCTTCACACACCCTCCTTGCAACCTGAGGAGAACTGAACAGTCACCACCACCCCGGCTGACTCACATCAAACCCAATATATTCACCATATACCATCGGCAAGTACATGTAGGGACCCAAATGACAATGTTGTTTAGATACTGAACACTTGCTAAAAAAATCTAGGTATGAAAGAATTGGAAAGAATTCCAATTGCAAATGAAAATCATACCGTTAAGTCGTCGTGTTCCTAGAACCTGAAGTGGGAGATTCAACAAAATCTGTAGTTCTAGAGTGGGTATATGTGAAGCTCCATATATCTAAATACTTTGCTCTAAGTAAATATTATAAACTATAAGCTTTAAATTAAGAATGAAGCTCCATGCTTTGTTTAGAGAGATAGTGGGTGGCCATTGAAAATTTGGAGAGAAGAGAAAGGCATAATTGTCCACTACGCGCTCAAATATGGCAGGAACAAAGCCTGTAAGTTCTATCTTGCCGCGTATGTCACACACACTATTAAGTTGGATGAAATTATAAATCATTGTAGTGTGGTGGACTAATAAGCGCGGGTGCAGGTGCGGGTACGGATACAGGGTACGCTGATACGGCAAATTTTAAAAAGTAGGATACTGGTACGACTGGGGTACGTCAATATTTTTTTTTTTTTAATTTTAAATTTATAGCTAAACATCCAACATACAAATTAAAGTTCAATAACATAATTAAAAAGAAAAATTACAAAAAAAGAGAAAACATAAAATAAAAAAATAAAAAAAAAAAGGAGTACAAATCTACTACTACTATAAAAGTGTGAAGAGCCTACTATGTTTTCTACTTTTTTTTAAATCCCAATTTTACCCTTGAAGTCATGAAGAGCCCTATATAAATCCACTATCTCTTTATTTTTGAAATTGAACACTCAAAAATGATATATCTACTTCTAAGAGTCCTATATAAATATAAAGAAAACGTCTCTTTTTTTATAATTAAAAAAAAAAAAAAAACTGTCCCTCTACTTTTTACATTGATGTTTTTTTAAATCCCAATTTTATCCTTGAAGTCCTGAAGAGCACTATATAAATCCACTATCTCTTTATTTTTTAAGTTGAACACTCAAAAATGATATATCTGCTTCTAAGAGTCCTATATAAATATAAACAAAACGTCTCCCTTTTTATTAAAAAAAAAAAACTATCTTTCTATTTTTTACATTGATGATGATTGAAGAACAAAAAATAATTACTCTTTTTTATTTCTTGTGTCTGCTTCTATACTGATATACATAATATTTATGATTGTCCATCATTGATCAAATTATTATGAATAATTTTGGTTGAATCTTAAAACTTGTATGCTTTCGTTCAAATCTAAACAAAAGAAAACGCATACGTTTTTAAAATAGAAATTTGTGCTATATCTTAAAAATTCGCAGGTTATCTTTATACACTTTCTTTTTGTTTAAATTATATTTTATGAACTGTAATATTTTGCATAGTATTTTAATAACTAAGGTATGATGTCAAAATTCTAAACAATAACCACTTTCGTCGGTTTTATTTTTTAAATCTGTTTTTCAATTTTTGATTTTTTATATTTTCTCAGTTTGGTGATTAAAGATACTGAAATTTCTTCATATTTTATATTTAAATTATACTTTTATATGAAAATATAATATCTAATAATCTAAATAGAATTAAAAAGTAATGTTCAAACATTTATTGATTTTTTATTATAATATTTTTTTGTTGTTATTATTATTTAATATTAATAATTTTTTTCCCAAAAAGAATATAGAACAAATTATTTCTATGTGTTATTGGATTAAATGAATCTAAATCTAAAAGTAAAATTAAAAAATAAAAAAGTATTAAATTAAGTGAATCTAAAAAGAAAACAGAAGAGTTATTAAAAAAAGAGTGTCAAAGACAACCAAAAAAAAAAAATGAAAACCAAAAAATTAAAAACAAAAGTTTGAAAAAACTAAACTAAACCAAACACTATAAACTTCTTTGTTTTTAAACCCTTATTTACTAATCTCTAATTTTACATAAATTATTCACAAATTTCTTCAAATTTTTATGTGAATTTAATAATCTAATTTAAAAATAGTGCATACACACAAAAATATAAAACTAAATATCTACATTATAACCAACTATTTAATTATGAATAATTAACATCTAATTGTTACTTTTATTATATTGTTCCAAAAGATTTCACATATTATTTTTGTGATATCTTATATATATCAATGTCTACATACATAGATATATAAAAAATGTACATAAATGTAAATTTATATATATTACTGTATTAATACATTATCAATCTGTAATGCTATATTATCATCGGATACTTTAATTTTCTAAAATGTATCGCTTTAGTAATATACTTATATTTGTTAGGAAAAAACTGCAGAATTGTATATTGTTCTCCTATCAACTTATTTTCAATACATATATACATACATGTCATACAAATAAGCGAGGAAGCATAGATACGGATACGAGATATGGATACGACACGATACGGAGGATACAGATACGGCAATACGACAAAACCTAAAAAAATAGGATACAGGTACGGCCAGAATACGTTCGTGAAAAATATATTTTTTTTTAATTCTTACTTTCTATGTAGTTATAGGGGACATAGATGAAATAATTAGGATACATCAATTTGACAAATTCTATTATTTAACTCACTATGCTCTTCTTATCAAAAAACTTAACAAAGTATTAGAAAAATATTCTTATATTTATCCTTGCAATTATATTATATTATATTCCTATGTAAGAAATGCTACAATTCTAATTTCATAAAACAAGGAAATATGACTTGGAGTATCCGATACTTCAAAATTAAGAATCCGATACTCCAAAATTAATGAAAAATAATTAAGAAGTATGCAATACTTTCAATAAGTATTTAATACGTATCCACGAGTATCCAAGGAGTATCGGTATCCGATACGGATACGATACACATACATCACCCTATTTAAAGTATCAGTGCTTCATAGAAAATAAGTGTCCACAACAAACACTTTCAATAATAAACTAAGACTTTGCAAAACACCTACATCACGACAATAATTGTACTTTTTATATTTTTTTTTTTCACGACAATTGTATAGGAATTGTATACTAATGACTAATGTTATATTTTTCATCATGCAAAATATTCATGGCACATGAAACGAGACTCAAACAACTCTAGATGTATAAAAATATATTACATATTGATATTAAAGTATTCTTACATCAGTAGTATGCAAATAATATGCAATAGTGCGTTCAATGAATTTGTATTATGAGATGAACTATTAAACAAAATTGTGTAATTGTGCAATTAATTCCATACTTTCAATTATATTACAAATACGGATTATGAAAAATTGAAGTAAAAAGTTGATAGAAAAATATTTGTGTAATACTATATATTTGAAGGACCTATTTATTGTTTATTGTTTATTGTTTAAAATAAGATTGTGATCTTAACAATTTAGCTACAAATTAATGTTTATGTTTATAAAATTTCTTATTTATCATTTAAATTCTTTAGCCGAGTATATATTAATTTCTCCTTTAGTTGTATTTTGGATACAGATCAATTTATCCATACAAGTCTCCATACTTTGTATACATATCACATATCAATTTATGAGACACGCATAATTACCATACTAAGAGTTGATGAAAAAAATCACGTGCCACATGCAACGCACGTGTCCCAGCCACTAGTCTGGAAAAAAAAAAAAGCAACAAGAAAATTTGTTTCAGTTTTTTTGATAACATGTGAAATGCTGTGGGGGGCACCCTCCATATTTGTGTAATAAAAAAATACGGATGTAATTCCCCCTATTTTTTTCAATAAGAATATCAAAAAAAAATATTATAAACAAAAACATTTTATTACACTACACCCATTAGCTTAATTAAATTTTAATATAACTCAGCACAAGTTGTTCACATTGATTCAAAAACCAATATGTTCTGGTAAGTTTGTTTAGCATGAAAGAGTAGGAAACAACAACAAAATTAGTTTTTTTCTATACAACACATATTAGCAATGATAATTGAGTTCTTAATTTCTTGCACAAAAAAATAATAATAAGAATAATAATAAAATAAAATTTGTCCATGCAATGCAAGGGGTTACCCATAGTTAAAATCATAAAAAAAAAAAATTCTCTATCTCTTTCCTGCAAAAATTTCATCCTAATAAAATGTTTGCAAGAAAATATATTTTCCTTTCTTTCCTTTCCTTTCACATTCAAACAAATTTTCTTTCTAATCAAACATAGCCTAAAACAAAGAAACAGCTTAACAACCATTACAACAGAACAAAGCTCTCATTCCAACAAACAGTCTAAAAAACCAACTGAATATATTAATATACGCATTCAAACACATAAAAAGAACAGAGATTGAGATTCAAAAGAAAGAGCATGCCAAAACAGAACAGCATTCAAAACCCTAGAAACGGAGGGAAAAGAGGGCGTACCTAACGAGAAGAGGAGTCGTCATTGGAGCGGAGGGGGTCGGTTGCTGCCAAGGAGTACAAAAATCTGGAGAAAAAAGAATGAAAAAAAGAGGAAACAGAAATCTGGAAAAAAAAATTGAAAAATGATGTCTTCGATCTTCGTTTGCTGCGGAGAAACAGAAAAAAAAAATCTGGAAAAAAAATGAAAGAAGTGGAAGAATCGAAGAACAAAGAGATCGAAGATGGACAGAAAAGAGAAAAAAAAATCTGGACAGAACAAAGAAAAGGAAGAAGAATCGAAGATGAGCTTACCGGATTGTGATCTTTGAAGGAGAGAATCGATTAGCACCTTCTATTAAATCTCTTCAATAGCTTCGCAAGGAGTTTTTCAGCTCTTTGGAGTCTCCGTGTTTCAAGAAAAAGGGAGGCAATCGAATAGAGTAGAACCCTAATTTTAAATTGTTTCATGTTTTGTTTATTACAAAAGTACCCCAAATTTATATAATTTTTTTTAAATAGACCAAAAAAATGCTCCGGTACCCTTTAATTTGTAAAACATCTCATTTTTTACCCCGAAGTACCCAAAAACATACCTATGGCGTACCCATCGCATACCTATCATTATACTGATCCTATAAAATATACCCAGTATGTTTTTGGCGTACTCAGTACGCATGCAGCCGTACTAGTAAGCGTACTCGCACCCAATAAGTACCTAATACTTGTATGGCAACATTTTTGAAGTACCCGTGCTTCATAGGTGGTAGACAATACATGGGATTCACTATGACAAATAAACATTAGAGGGTTGTATATTTTTTAGGTTTACCTTGAGGAGGTAAAGTGCAATTAATCCTAAATTACATCAATGATTATGAGCATACCACATCATATGATCCAGTTGTGAAGATGAAAAACGGCAACAGAGCAAACACCGAGAGTCCCTGATTGTATTTTGCACCATCAAAATTTTCTATATGTGATTCAAGGAAAATAATTGAATAGTCCCAAAAGTAACTATGTAGTGCACCATGCTCCCGGTCAACAAAAAACCGCAACATACACTAACGCCTTGTTTGATTAACTGGACTAGTAATGTGGAGATTAATAATCTATATAATTAGTGTAAGATTGGTTATCTTGGATTAGTGAGATAAATAATTTCCTCTTGTAAACGTTTGTTTTGCAATGAATATGGAAATTATATGTTTGCTTTGCATTATTAGTTGTAAGATTAAAAAAATCGCTAATTTTGTTGGATAACAAAAATTGCAATCTAACAATGAAATGTGAGTCCCATAAATTAATAATCTTAATTCCTAACTAGCTAATAAGGTAGGTTAACCCTCTTTAACCAGCAAAAATTTTCACTACACCACATATTAGTTAAAGCACTATACGACTACCCAACAATTACCAATAATTCAGATAGTTTATAATTGTTTGTTCAAAATCAGAACATACAATGCATAAATAAATCTTAAAAATTCCAAACCATAAGATTAATCTTCCTCTTGACTCTAACATTGTCTTCAGAATAGAGCAGATCATACAAGGAATGTCGAGGCAATTGTAAAGAGAGAATTGATACCGTCACCAGTCACCGTGAAGCTAGGGCTAGAAATCAAGGGTTCAGATGAGAGCTGCATTCTCTCCCTTCGTCGTTCACCGTTCATCAATCGTCGTTTCTCCTCCATCAATTGTCGTTTGTCATCGACAGATCTGCATTGCTGATCAATCCCTTGTTTATGTGTTGTGTTGTGTTGTTTTCTGTTCTATTTTGTATTGCACACTGATTTATTTATTTTTTCATCATTAATTGAGATAATAATATAAAATCACATTTTTTGTGTCAGACTCTCATATTATAATATTATTCACTCTCATTTATTGAGTTTTTCAAAAGGAAATTTAGTCAAAATCTCCCAAGCATATCATATTAGTGTGTAGATGACAATTTAAAATGTTTTACTTTTTAAATTTTTTGAGCAAAAAACGTGTTCTTTATGAAGAACAGACAAATATGTTTTTATATTTCTTTGGACAATTTTACCCTATTATATATATATATATATATACATACCTGAGAAGTCGAAACTTCTTCATCGATCTCTCTCTTTTTCTCAAAAAAAAGCAAAGCAGATTAACAAAGAGAGAGAAGAAGGAGAAGACAACGATTAAGGAGAGATATGAACATACGAAGAGCTATTACGAAAGACCCATGACCAAAGCCATCCACCGTTTATCATTTGTGGTGGCACGGTCCACTGGAGTCCTCAATAGGATCTCTCATCACTTTGAATTTATTATTATTTCTAGATTTCTCACAATCATTAATAGTGGTTGGAGAGAAAGAGATGCAAAGTTTATTGTATTAATTAACTATGTAAATTGATATTCTATGATGTGCCACTAATGTACCATTTTTGATTAGCACAAAAAGGGTTTTTGAAGCTGAGATTGAGTATTCTATGAGTATGTATGAGTTTTAATTTCTAGAAGTAGTATGAGTATATATGCAGAGAGGGTCATACTCTATTTTTGTTGCTGATGTTCTGTTCAAAACAAACAATAAAATGTTATTGTCAATCAGAGTAACATATTACTATTTATGTTAATTTCAATGGTAATTTTTTTTATATTTAAAGTATTTCATAGTCAACCTAATCTTATTTGATAGATTTTGATGAAAGGATTCAAAAAAATACTAATTTTTATTAAAAACCGATATCTAGATCAAAAGTTATATTATCTTAAAGTTTAAAATATTAAATTAGGCACTAAATATATTTTGGTAATAGTAGTATGTGCTGGACTTTTCATGAAATTGTTGTTGTACTTGTTCTTAATAAATTAAAGTTTTATTATGAGAGGGTTTAACCAAATCCGTTTTTTTTAAAATATTTTAACCAATATTTTTTATTTTTTAGATCCACTTAAGTCTTGTTTTCCATTTGGCTAAAAAAATAAAGTCACTAAGTTATTAAATCATTCTCTCTATTTTTCTGCATGTCTCTTTGTAAAAATCAAAAAATTAATTAAAATAATTGATTCCCAAATGAGACCTTAATTTAAATACACTTAAAAAGAAGGGCAAATTACACAAATAGTCCCTATAGTTTGGGGCTTCTGTCACTTTGGTCCCTGACTTTTCAATTGTGACACATTTGACTCTAGATTTTGAATCTTGTTCCAAATAAGGACAATTGAAGATATCATTAGATTTTTTAAGGGTAAAATTGTCAATTTGATAAAATATCAACTAATTTGACAAAAATAAATGTCAAACAAATATTTTTAAATTTTTAAAAATTATTTTTACCCACAAAAAATAAAATTATGTAAAATTGATAAATCTTTTAGACATTTATTGTTTTTACCAAATTAATTTTTATTATGTATTTGGATGATGATCATGTAAAATTAATTTAAAAAAATTAATCATGTAATTTTCATTAATTTTTATTAATTTTACATAATTTTATCATTGGTGAATAAAAATAATTTTTAAAAAATTAAAAATATTTTTTTGACATTTATTTTTGTCAAATTAGTTTATATTTTATCAAATTGACAATTTTACCCTTGAAAAATCTAATGATATTTTCAATTGTTCTTATTTGGAACAAGATTCAAAAATCAGGATCAAATGTATCACAATTGAAAAGTCAGGGAACAAAGTGACACAAGCCCCAAACTATAGAGATTATTAGTGTAATTAACCCTAAAAAGAATAAAATTTATAAAAAAAAATTAAAAAATTACTAAATACTAACAAATATTAAAAAAATACAATAATATTAGTACATTTTCGTATTTTTTTATATTTATTGATTTTTTTTAAATATTTATTTACAAATTTTTACTTTTTATTTACACCTGCATTAAATTCATTTAACAAATAAAAAAAAGATAAATTATTTATAAGTTCTATTTGGAAAACTTATACACGATATAGTCTTATGAAAAACTTATAACCCAATAGGTCCTATGGTTTTCTTGTGGACACATCTATCCCCAATCTTAATTAATAAATAATCTGATTAATAATAATACCATATATGAAAAATCCAATATTACCATAGATTGTAATCATATCGATATGGTTAGAAATTTGAAATTCAAAATAATTTAATTAAGGGAAAATTATTGATAAATCCCATTTAGAAGTGTTTTAACCCAAGAAGTTCATGAAGGAATTTTTTAACCCATTTAGTCCCATGTATGTATAGTTTTATTCCATAAAGTCTTTTTTCTTGATTTACACTATTTTCTTGGACACTTATGCCCTTATATTAAATTTTGACACCCTTATAAATATTTTTTGAACGGTTAGCAATTTTATGATGTGAACATTCACATTTTAAAATTCACATTGGTAGGAATGTAAACTTGGCCTGTGGACGGCCTCAAAACCCGCCCACGAGCCGGGGCGGTCCCGGCCCGTTGACAATGTGAATATTCACATTGACATGTTAACATTCACATTAATTGGAGTATAAAATTGGCTCGCGTCCCGTGGTGGCGCGAAACCCGCTCGCGGCCCGTTGACAATGTGAATATTCACATTAACATGTTAACATTCACATTGATAAGAGTATAAAATTGGCCCGCGGCCCGTTGACAATGTGAATATTCACATTGACATGTGTAACATTCACATTGATAGAAGTGTAAAATTAGCCCGCGCTCCGTGGCTGCCCGAAACCCGCCCACGGCCCGTGGACGGGCCGGGGCGGGCCCGACCCGGCCTGTTAACAATGTGAATATTCACATTGACATGTGTAACATTCACATTGATAGAAGTGTAAAATTAGCCCGCGCCTCATGGCTGCCCGAAACCCGCCCACGGCCCATGGACCCCGGCCCGTTGACAATGTGAATATTTCACATTGACATGTTAACATTCATATTGATAAGAGTGTAAAATTGGCCCGCAGCCCGTGGGCGGCCCGAAGCTCGACCGTAGCCCGAGGCGGGCTTGGCCCCGACCCGTGACATTGTGAATATTCCACATTGACATGTTAACATTAACATTGATAGGAGTGTAAAATTTGCCCGCTGCCCAATCTTGCCCGTGGCCGAGGTTAGGCCCGGCCTAGCCCGTGGGCAATGTGAAATTCACATTGACAGTTAAACTGCACATTGATAGGAATGTAGAATTGGCCCGCAGCCTGTGGGTTGCCGAAGCCTGCCCACGGCCCGGGGCAGGCTCGTTTGGTCCGGGCCCGAGCCGGTGGGTTAAGCCTCGGGTCGGGCTAATGGGCCTGGGCCTAGCCTCAGGCTTGGGCGGGCTTGGGCGAGCCTGGCCATTTTTTTTTAATCTTTTTAATTTTTTCTACTAAAATTTTATTATTTTCCACAAAAAAGACCACTAGGCTCGGCGCGGGCGAGCTCGGACTGAGCCTTGA